CACATGTCCTTAGCAGCCCAACGACGTAAGCAAACCAGCCCTTTTGGCACATCGGCTGGGACCGTATGCTGAATGTTGGGGAGGGGATGGGGTCCCCAACGGTCGACGGTTTACTTCAACTCGGTTGGTACGATAGGAGAGTACTGACGCAAGTGGTGCAGCTGGTCCAGTAGCTTCGCCAGAAGGACCGGTCTGCTCACCCTTGGACTAAGCCTAGGAGAGGGGACGGACCCGTCCTCTCTTTAAGGCTTAGTTCTAAGGTAAGCGCCAAATTGTGGCGGTTCTAAGGACCGAGTTGAAGTTGTCCGTCCACCGTCGGGGACTCCATCCCCTCCCCAACATTCAGCATACGGTCCCAGCCGATGTGCCAAAAGGGCTGGTTTGCTTACGTCTCGCCCCCAGGATCGGCACTCGCGCTGGTCGCCGCTGCATGCCCATCAATAACAAATCCTCGAGTCTGACTTTGGCTGCTTGAGTGAGAGAGAAACGTCAGACGTTGAGAGCGACAGCTTTCTATGATGAGCTAGCCATCGATGCAGATAAGTTGACGTAGCAAAGATGTCCCATTTCTCGGGGTTCTGGACTGATCTCAGTTTCTTCATTCCTGCAGCACCGACCATGTCTAACCATACTTCTAATGGTTGCAATTTTTTTACGAGCTGCCTTTAAAATAACACAGTTGTTGATTGCGAACGTTCATGAAATAAATTATTTCCAAAGCAAAATTTTCCCTCCCTCTTAACTCTGACGCTCTCTTTCTTTGTAAAATAAGCAAAAATCTGCAAGTTGATGCACCGCTACACTCGTGTGATATAACACAACCCACGCCATGCAGCGAACTCACAGTCGAACTAATATCGCATTTATTTTCGTTGAGACTTGTTGTCCGCAGACATTAAAGACGTGGGAGGCAACCACGATTAATTATAGGTGGACTCATTACAAACTTCCTTTAGGTAAACTAGGGTCAGTTACCAACAAAAAAGTCGCAAAAGTCGACAACATAATAACGACGTCTTTCAGAAGCGATAAACGGCAGACAAGAGCGCATAGAGACAAATAATAGGGACAGCGAAGATACAGACCGCCATAAGTGTAATTGGCGCATGAATGGCTTCCTGTGCTTCAAGTATGTCTGCGCTCTCTTGCCTTCACGTCATGCTCTCTCGTTCCGCCCTGTCCTCTTCACTGCTAGGGCGATCTCTTTCCTATCTCCAGCGTCGTCCCCTTCGTACCTCCACTTTCATTTTTGGGCGCAATAATAGCAATTAACCGGTTGTGCCTTTGAGTCTGGGAATAAGTTCTGCAATCCGCTCTACTTTCTGGCGCCTGACTAGAATTTTATAATGATAGATAATCAGACATTCTTCTCTATCTTTGCTACTGCAAAGTACTGTGACTAGAATTCTACAGTATCTGCTTGTTGAGCCGCATGGCTAAAGGTCAAGCTGACTATCATTCTAGGTTTCCTTATGATCTGGTGGGGATGGCTGGCATTCAACACCTCGTCCAACTATTCTGTTTCCGAACACCAATGGACAGAAGGAAGCCGGTAAGTGAATCCTGATTGAAAATTTTCTCTCTCTTTCTCCGAAAATGGCGATTTGCTTGACGAGTTCACCACCGAATTCTAACTACAGATCAGCTGTTGGAACCATTATGGCTTCAGTCGGCGGCGGAATGGTCACCATATTGATTTCACGTTACGCAACAAAAAAGATCGAAGTCGACATGCTCATCGATGGATTATTAGCCTCTTTAGTTTCGAGTACCGGTACGTTTTTACAAAAGAATTCACAGGAATACTGAGTTTCGATTGGATATTCACGTCCAGAGCAACTTTTCGACGTGAGAAAGGGGTAATTATTCTTTTTAGCTGGCTGCCTCTTCTACACCCCGTGGCAGGCGACCCTGGTCGGGGCCATCGGGTCGACCTTGGCATTGATAGCATATCCGGTGTTGGAGAGAGCAAAGGTATGCTACAACTAGCCTAAGATACTGTACCTTTAAGATGTACCAGCCTGTTCCCATGGTAAGCGATTTTGAAAATATCAACAAGTAACGTTTCAGATCGATGACCCAGTCGGTGTGATTCCTGTGCACGTGGTCGGCTCCGTCTGGGGAATGATCAGCCCAGCAATTTTCGTCTGTCGCGATTTCGGTCTAGCTGAACACAAGGTTTTCCAGGGTTTTGGTGTTACCGAAGCATTGTGGTTACTCCTTTTCTTAAGGTCACCAATGAGAACGATCTCTCAGGACTTCTGTATGGTGGCGGCGCAACATTACTGTTCTATCAACTCGCAGCTCTTGGTGTGATCGCCCTCTTCAGCGCAGTCTGTGCTTTCTCAATACTTTGGGTGAGCCTTTCGTCAGTTATAGCAGAATTCGAATGAATTGAATATCGCTTTCTCGCATGGAGGTGGGGGCAGCGGCTAACAATCGAACAAGGCTGATTCCATTTTCCTCGGGTCCGGTATCGAGGCTTGCCCGGCCAACCAAAATTACCACCCCTTCGAGGTCGATTAGTTAGTGTCAAACTTGTCGAGAAGGCTTCCATAACTATAGGTAACGTAAACAAAAATCCAGGAGAGCGCGGATAATTTCTGCCCTTTCCAACAATTCCCTTTCCTAGCAAACCCGGATTCCAGTCGTTCATCTTTGCACACCCAAACGCGCTATGCAATTTGCCTGTCTTTCGTTATTATCCCTCAAAGAGCCATAAATAATGCGATTTGATGCCTCTAAATAGCCACAGCAGTGCCGCGTTCAGTGTGCGGTCATATCCCTTCGGGGACATGATCCAAGATGGAATATGGCTCGCTATATTAGCGTCCCGCATAGTCAGCGATGGAACCTGAAGACATTTTCGATTTACAACAGCCGACGCTGAACACATGAATAGCACGGCAATTTGCTCTTTCTTTTATCCAGGCATTGAAGCATTATTTTCATTGACACTAATAGAAATAATCCACTTAGAATGCACAGGAATGCACTACACTACAATGATCATCCAACACTTTCCGCGCCGCGACTGCTCGCGGATTACCCCGAACTAACTCTGCCGACAAGAACTACAGAGCTAGGCTAGGCAACTGCTCTGAAACTACTGCCGGATTCCTCTCTATTTTCAGATCCCCTCAATTTTTCATAACCTTTTTCACCCGTGATGCCGAAAACGAGTGATGATTTACAAATGACGTTTCCCTCATATTTTTAGACGTTGCAACATTCGCCGATCGGTCTTCGTTTATCGCGGCTCGACGAGGAACTCGGCGCCGATCTGAGAGAGCACGGCCTTGCCGGTGTCAATGTAATGGCGTACACTATCGAGAAAAAACTGACTGCTAAGTGAGTTTCTCTCTCAGAAAAACAATTTTTTGTGCAAAGAACGAAATTGGAACAGCCAAACGAGAATCGGGCGCTTAACAGAGCTTACAAAAAGAAGGAACGAAAAAATGAAATCTAATAATTCCATCGATGGCGGTCCGAAAGACAATTTTGGACTCGGCGAGTTTCAATTTAGCCGTTCCAATGTCATTTCCAGTAAAAACACATAGCTCTCCCCGAGTGGAATGAAAGTGAGATGATGAACATGAGGAATTGAGAATAATTTCTTAGCATCAAGAATCCCAAGTTAACTATACAAAGCGGGCAACCAGACCAATAAGTTTTCACAACTTTCTATCAAACTTGAGTGCAAATTGAATGATGGAAAGGCACAAACGAGCCTATTGTGGAACGCCATGTGGTCGTTTATTGTCGAGAATCGTGGGTGCGACTGAATCATTGCTAGAACTAACCAAGGCTGGAGAAGCTAACCCCAAGTTTGTTAGGCGATTCTATACTTAGGTGGGCATCGTTATGCGGAGACCCCAACACACCAGCACCCAACACTCCACCAAGCTTAAAGGACGAATTCACGATGAAAAAGCAACCCATTTCAAATTAACCTAGGGATGGTGAGTGGTACACGAAAGAAGGAAGAACCATGAGAAACGGCCCAGAACCCGAGAAATGGGACCCCTTCCTTGCCCGTTGATTTGAGCATTGATGCGACTCTCATCGCTGTGCCCTCTTCAACACTACGCTCTCTCAGCTATCTAATCACTCGCCACGTATTGAACTACGGCGAGTGATCAGATGATCGGTGGGCGGAGATCGCCGGACCCGCCAGCTTTGAGGCATGATAGGTCGCCGAGGTCAAATTTTTCCATGCGAATTGCGCGTCAGTTCGCACCCTCAGGAGGTCCGTGGGTCCCTCAACTAGGTCAGTTTCCCTTTCTTCGACCTTCATTCTAATCGTGAATTCCTCCTTTAAGTATTAACGAGGTGCGGGCAACTTCAATTTTCCTAAAGTTCGCCCTCTCCTCCTAAGCTCAGCCCGCATACGATGCGCCCCCTACTCCGGGTATGCTAACGTAAATGTTCAATATGAACCTGATAAGGTGAACCTGAGCAATCGAGCTTTAGCTCAGTGAATGCAAAAAGAAGTCTTATGTGGCGTTGATGTTTACCACCGAAGAAAGTTCATGAATAGCCAGAATTTCTGCCTCTTTATAAAACCTTACAAGGCCATAGTGAAGAGCTAAAGAAAATGACAAGGATACTCCATAGAATCCAAATCAAGTAAAGCAAAGTCAAGCGAGTTCGAAAACATAGCTGCCACCAGCTCTGTCCGAGTTCGGATCGGCTTTTATTGCTCAATCGATAGGACTTTATATTTCATCGAGCGTACCAAAAGCTATGATTCAAGGTTCAAAGAACGGTTCACATATACGGCATTTCCTACCAGTTACGACCCCACTTTCCAAAAATTCAAAAATTCGACTTGTCTGGAATTTGATACCCGGAAGTGGTCTGGTCTATTCAGCACGAATGTCTTACACACGCTTAGCGCGGAATCAGACGAGCCACTGGCACAACAACCAAAACAACTTACTATTAAGCCACTAAAACTGCAAAAAGCCTATAAATAAGGTTAGTCACCTACGATGGGAAGAAATGGAGGTGAACATCCTTATTAGATACCACAAGGCAACCAGGTTCAAACTTTGCCTTCTAAGAGACCTTTGGCTGTTCGGTGCCGCCAACATACGCGCCAAACCGAAGCGAAATCCGTGCTTGTAAGGCAGAGCTACCTTCAAAGGCAGGTTTCTGGCAAAATATTCCATCGGCAACAAAGTCTGAGCCGAATTGAGGGCAAGATTTGAAGGTTCGAGTAGGAAAGGGTAAACAAACCCCACACTTATATTTAAGATCGATTCGATCTTGATCACACAATTTCTTTTCAGAACCCTGAGCTCTGTGTTGATGGTCATCATCCGATGGCGTGCAAAGGCGAAGCTGAGAGCAGCCAGACGACGCGTCGCCGACGCTTCTCAGCAATCCGAAACACCGAAGGGTGTCGAGATGACTCGGATTCAGAAACGAATCGTGCCCAGTGCTAATCACACTCGGTCACCGGCTAGTTCAAGGACAGGTTGAAGTCGGTTTACGAGTCATTTACGAGGACTCTAAACCCATTCGATTACCAGATGCTAAGTATTGTTGCAACTCAAAATGCTTCCCATGGCAATTCAATAGTACCTTTATTGTAAAACTTATCGGGAAGGCAGCAAATTTCTTGCTCACCTCATTTCCTATTGAAACACATTGGGGTCCTTTCTCCCTCTAAGGGAAGTTTTAGTGTTGTGAAAATTACAAAAAAAAACTGAGCTACTATGTAGGTTTGACTTTTTGGTTCTTCCCTATAGTACATGTGATTTCTGGTCACATTAAAAGCTTCAAGCTCAATCGATTCCTAGAACATTGGAAGGAAAAACATAAACTTATGAAATAACTCTGTCACGGTAGGATCCGAAAATGAATGTATATCAATGCAATGGCGGCAATCGCTTCCCGTTTGTTTTTTCCGTATGTAAGTAACCTACCTAAAGCAAGACCCTAAAGAATGTACTCTCTTGGTCTAATTTATTTTGAAACCCATTTTTTCGGAAACACTGAAACATTTGTAGACTTAGACTTGCAGCACGACACGAGGATGGGAATAGCTAGCTTTCACAGTTCATAGCAAGAAGACATAGACCTTCAAATGCCTACGCAACCATAAACCGCAGGTGCGCGCGTGGCGACTGCCAAGCGGTCCTATGTGACGAGTTTGTTCACCTTTCCTTAGCACGAATCAATCACCCTCCTACCATCTATTTTCAGTCTTTTTCAAAAGGGGGAGAGTTGAGAGTAAGCCTCAGAACAGAACCTGAAAATTCCAGAGCCACCTAAGTCGCGGGGGAGAGGGTTGCACACAGCTAATTTAGAAGTTTGAGATTTTGTAATTTTGAAAAGTGAGTAGTTCTAAAGGAATCACCATCTGAGCCTAACTTAAGGTTGAGGAAAAGCTTTTCGTTTTGAGATCTACGCCATTCTCAGCTTCTTGATGATCACCATCCCTCTCATAGCCATAAGAATCAAAGTTGTGCCCCTCTGCGTCTCTTACCTTATTTGGACGCCTTTGGCCGCTGGAGACACTGTTTTCGTGTGATTTTCCCTGCACAGGTCACTGTTTGAATAATTTCTTGAACGTGAATCTTTTCTTGCCCAATTTCTTCCGGTTCATGGCCTTCCATAACCGGTTCATTGGATTGATATAACCTAAACTCTAATTTCTCATCTCAAAGTGCCTTCTAGTCTTATATTTCCTATTTTTCTTCCGACGCTCGTGGCCTTAGGGGAGAGGGGGAATATTCAAGACAGGGTCTTTGGAAATTACCACGAGATAACAGTGGGACCAAGCTCACGAGAGGTGGGGAGGATTGCCGGGGAGAACAGAAGTTGCTCACATTCTCCCCGGAATCCCTTCACTGCCCAAACCTCAGTTCCATGTACTGTAAATATCTCACTTACTTGAATGTCCCCCCCCCCCTAACAACATGAGCGCCTTTCCTTCTTTCCTCTCAACAAAGTATATTTTGCAGTGCTAACACTACTGTGATACCACATATCATATCGATAAAGATTGATTGAATATTTAATCGACATAAAACATGTTCACACATCTTTGAGAGCGTCTCACCTCAATCAAATACAGAAAACGAAGAAAAACATCACAATACCAATCAATCAATAATCATAATAATAAACAAAATAAATACCGTAGTTCAGTGAAGTCAGGTGGGTGTGTGCGGATGTGCGACGACAGATGAAACATGGAAAATGACAACAGGAAAACGGGATAATTCTATACACAATCAGTCATTCAACCAACTCGAGTCGATTAATCGATTAGTGAGTGGTAAGGAACACGAGCTCAATTAACAGGCCCAGTGAACTAGATGGTTATCGATTGAGTTATTGCGATTTCTCGACACCGACAAGGGACGACGGAACTGTCACTTGAAAAGGGAACTGGAGAAGGGGGGGGGGTGAAAGATGAGGGGAAGCACATCTTAAACGACGAGACCCTCCTACCTGGATAGAAACGGTGCCTAGCCTATACCTATACGACCGCTACTACAAAGCTACATAAAAATAGGATAAAATTGCGCATCAAAAGACGCACAGCGCAGCAGCACACAGTGAAGTCATCACAATATTAGAGACAACGAAAAACATATAGAAAAACTAGGGTAAAAAAAGACAATTGCGCAGTGTCATTCACGAGATGAAACAAACTTTCTTTGATGTGCTTTGGAAGGAAATAATAGAAAAAGATTTTCGGTATGAGCATTAGGCGCCAAAGTGGGCGTGGCGCTCCATTTGCGCGGACAACTCGTCCGCGCCACTACATTACCACTGCAATCATGTTTTATGCCCCATTAACGATAAAAAAGGCACGCCACGCCCACATTGAGGCCATAGTCCACTTCCAAAAACCTTTTCTGAAGATGAATAATAGAAAAACAGCTATGAACGACACCTACCAAAAGACGATCGTCAACGTTATTGCAACTCGCATCTTTTCGTCAGCAGAAATCAATGATTCAATAAAAGTTAATGCGGAACCGAACAGTTTAGCACGCGACAATTCACATGAGATGACTGAGAGGGTAAAACTAACGGCTTCTTTGAAAATTCATAGACCAACCCCTGAAGCTGGGCGATCCAGGAAAGCGAACGATACAACGTATTTACATGCGAGAGCAAGCGAGCGAGCCGTACACAGTTCGTTCGACCCACACACTGTTCACAATTGAAGACTAACACGAGATGATGAAAGCACGAGTGTCGAGAATCAGATGATACAGGCCGCGCTGCGCCAGATTAGGCGCTAGCGCACGTGCACGTTAGGCAACGGGCGGTGCTAATGAGAGCGACAATCAATACGCATAACGTGGACAGCGTTGTGCAGCCGACGCGAACGCGTTTAACCGTTTCAAGTATGGGTACTGAGGGAGGGTTAAATAAACAGCGGTTTCATCTATTTCATAGACGACCGCTGACAAAGGTTGATGACCTGATTTCTACGAAACCGACGACGATGCTGATATCTTTGGTAGCAGTAGGCTTTCCACAAATGTGGACATTACACCGCACACATACTTCTCTCCTTACGTCAGAATGTGGGCCAATTTCTGAGGTGTAAACGATGAATTATTCGTGGAGCTGACTGCACGTAGAGCACTCGTTGAACCCGTCATCAGTGATGGAGCGAGGCCTGCTGAAAAGGAAGTATTTTTTATTGGAAAAATTATGCTTAAGTGACTGCATTATAATGAACCTATGACCAAAGAAATCGGTCAACAACCGACCAATCAGGTATCGAAAGACCACCCAATTGAAAGTGGCTGCATCAATCCCTATTGGTCGGTTGTTCCCCGAATCCTCCTCGGTACAATAAGTTTCATATAAGTAACAAGCAAAGAAAATGTACAATCGTGCTTCCGCAGCTGCTTCGCAGTGCGGAGGACAAGGTAACCTTCGACGTAGCCATTGATGTTTGAGCGCTTGTGCCGGTGTCATTCGAGTTTCAGGATCCCAATCCAGACATCGCTTCATGAAGTCAATGAACAGTTCATCACCCTGAAAATAGAATGATTTTTTCAGAACATTCCTCAGAGAAAAGTCGTGGTGGAGAATCGACAGATCCTTCCATTAGTTTAGCGACCTTTAGCCATGGCCAAGCCTGGCATGTTTTGGGATAAAAAAAGCGCAATGTGCAAGTTTAGCGTGGCTCAGAATGACTCCAAACGGCCATATAGTCGTTTGGAGTCATTCTGAGCCACGCTAAACTTGCACATTGGACTTCTTTGAACGTAAAAGGATTAGCTTCAAACTACTATGGTTGTCATTTAGCGCTGCTTACAAATATATCGCCACTTGCTCTACAGATTCCGCCCATACTTGGCAAAAACTTGTACGGACATCCATAAAAGTGGTGAGATTGAACCACAAAAAGGACCGAAAAGACCGGAAAAAGTCCAAAAATGCTTCAAATCATGACTAATTTTCACTTTTTTGCCTTCAGTTGAACTATTTTGGACTAGCACACAACAAAAGGAAAGGAAGAAAAGGAGAACCAATACTCTAGCTTTCTCTCAATTAGTTGATTCGTGAAAATCAACTCGAGGAAATCAACGACATTAAAAAAATGAATCGCTGCTGCTCACCATATTTTTCAGGGCCGTATTCCAACTTCGACTTCCTGGTGGACCACGCATCTTCCCTCGTTTACTACGAGCACCGCTCAACACTACGGAACCGTCAGGCATTACCGATGCCGTACAATACCGAGGATAGCCCTAAACATTGAAAATTTGAAAAAAACTAAGGCAAGACTAGGAGACATAAAAAAACAAAAATCAATGAGAAGTGTGAGAGGCCATAAAAGGATTGGACCCACCTTTGATGATATGAATGTCCGCGCTCGTTTCGCGTTCTCTAGTACCTTATTAGACGGCATACCGAGCAGCTCGATTATTAAGGCGAGCTTAAAAATGACATTCAGAGATTAAAAAAACAATTTTTTAGAGATGGAGCAAAAATGTTCTACAACCACTTTGGACTTAGAACTAAAATGGTCTCTAACCTGATCGTTCTCGTCCTCACCAGGGAGGAGCGGATAACCAGTTAGTAGTTCGGCTAGTATACAACCGAGTGACCACATATCGATCGGCATGCCATATTTCGAACCAAGGATCACTATAAAATTCAAAATGTTTACAATTTTGAAGAAGAAATACAAAAAAATAACCATCAACGTCAAAACTCCTAACACACCTTCTGGAGCTCTATAGAACCTCGATTGGATATAAGTGTAAATACGTTGATCGTCGAAACATGAGGAACCAAAGTCGATGACCTTAAACAGAAAATTAAATTTTCGAAACAGAAGAAAGAAGTAGAAGGGTGAAAGCTATGAAAAATACGGTATTCGAAGAAAAAAACCATAGATATGTCTAAGCACATATTTCCTCTCTTGAACACACTACAACCCACAAAAGGCAGATCTGATGAGAGAGATTCAGAAGAATCATAAAGGTGGAGAGTTGAGCTTGTGGGGCACCAGCTCACCCAGATGGACAAATGAAGATTACGAATGAGAAATATTTCGAAGAAACATGTTCGAAGCGATTTCTCTTGAGACTGAACGCTCACACAGTAAGATCCACATGCGCGATGGGAAGGTAGAAGGTGTAAAGAGTGAAACTGCCCTATGTAGGAAAGCATAAGCATAACGTAACGCGGGAAAGGATTAAAGTGCCGGGTTCAGTTAATCTCAAATTCGCCACGCTTTCTATCCTCCTTAAACCGCGACGGCATGTAAGTCGATTTGGTCTACAAATAACCGATTTACTGCGGGGGTCAGCTGATCTATGATATAATACAATCCGTGGCTTTCTCTTCTCGACCAGCACCAATTAATCGAGCCTGAAGCTTTTTCGGCCGCGGCAAAGTTCATTCCCTTGTTTGACCCCAGACCGTGCGAGCGCTATGCAACTCCAACAACCAATCACACAACCTCCCCATCGTAATCAATAGAATCAATACTGAAGAAGAATCCTTCTATTTTATAAAGCGCTAACTTCGGTTTTGTGTCGGTTTGTATGTCTGTATGTGTGTGTGTGTATGTATGTATGTATGTGTGTCCGTCCGCAAAATGAAGTGAGTGAGAAGGAAGCTCATGGGATAAACAAACCGCTAACAAATCGGGTAGCTTACAGGATTTGAGATATCAATGTTTTGTAGCAGGATAGTTGTGATAACACTCTTAGGGCTATATAAACACCTGCTTAGCACACTTCCGTTCATTCCACATGGTGCTGCAGTGGCAGCTGGAGGGCAGTGGAGAGAGGAAGGGAGGATGAGGAAGGGAAGCGAAAAATCTACCGTCATATCATGATTGTGTCCCTTCTACTGTATGAAACACCATTGTGTTGCATACGCGTCACTTCCAGGAGGTGTTGGTGTCACAGGAGGAAGGGACCATAGCGGAGGATAGAAAGCTTGCGCAGGAAAGGAAGGTCCCGGCGGTTGACGGGGGACTAATCTGGTATTATATATAAAGAATAATGTGATGTTTGTCGTACAAATGTTGTTCCAGGAGAGGCATATCATATAAAAAAAACACGCTAAAATCGTTGAAGTATGTGTGATTACCAAAGTCGATACTCTTAAATGGAATTACTCCCCTTCAATGAACCAGTCCCTCCTTCGACCCTTCAGCAAGGGAATTTAGAACGAGGATATATCCAATTCTTCTCAGCGGCACGGTAAAAGATTAGTCAGGGGGTGTGCACTAGGGCTAGGCGTCGCACTATTACCGTCGAGGTGTGAAGGTTCCAGTCAAAGTTTGCATTATGGCCGCAAACAGGAATGAAAGGATGATTATGATGGGAAGGGGAAAAGGAACCGACCAATCGACTAAACTAAACAACAACGAAAATGAGCTTCACAGAAGAGAACAGAACAATCTACTTTTCTCTTTTCACAAATTTCCAAAAAAAAAAAATATAGAAAAAAATAAAGGGCGATACCTTTATTCCACTTCGCCCTTGCTGTTTCAGCAACACATTTTCCGGCTTCAAATCACAATGTATCAGACGATTCCGTTGTAATAAATCCAAGCATAACAGCATTGAATAGGCAAATTTCCGCACTAACTAAAAAACCAACACATTTTTTAAAAAATTCTGTCAAAAAAAAACCAAAAAAAGCAAATGAATCGCCTCACAACTTACCATAAGACTGAATCCTTGGAATTTATTCTTCTTTATAAGCTCATAGAGATTGATATTCAACAGCTCAAACGTAATACATTTATGATTACGGAAATTAAAATAATCCAACATGTGGATTATATTATGTGAGCCGTCCGTGTCTTGTCGACGTAGGTGATCCTGAAATCAACGAACACTCAGAAAACATCGCTAAGAAACCGATTTTCTATTAAAATGCGGCTTCACATGATATCATCGAGCAAGCTTTTCGGCTTTATGAAATCCTTCTAAGGATACTGTAATCTGCAAACACTTACCAGAATCCTTATCTCCTCGTCGGCTTGCCGATGAAAGCGCTTCTCGTTCCGCACCAATTTTAGCGCCACATATTGCTGGTATTTATGATCGTACGCCTTTATCACCTGAAATCACTAGCATGTCAGACCGTTTGGTCAATGAACACTTCACCTTATCTCCCTAGAAGAAAAACATCTGTCTAGCAGACACTACGGCTAAGAAAAACGAACAATGGTCAATTCTTTCCAGGCCATTTGTCACAATGAAAAATGGCATAAATAGCCACGCCGCCGGATATTTTTACAACCTCCGCCAGACAGCCAGACCACTGAATTTTTTTCCTTAACCCATCTCGCACAAAAAAATCCCGCGCTGAAAGCCCCGATATTTCATCAGCCGATTCTCGTACTCCTTGCGGATGACTCAACCGTTCCACGTTCATTGCATGGCTGATTTATCATTCAGTCTGCATCAAAGAAACTATTATTAAGACTCGTCAGAAAAAAAAAACGCTTCACAACGCGAAGAAAAGTCGATGCTTTGAAGTCGATGCAGACAAATGCCCCACGATGAATTGCTTTTGCGGAGCCTATTTCAGCGCCGGTCTTTTTCGGACATGTGACATCATTTGAGGAATTCGTGACCTAGTGGAAGTTATTGAAAACCATTCATGACCACCTCTCCATCTATAGAAACCCTCACAACCTAGGCCGCACATCGAAACAAACAGTTGTTCAAAATGGGCGCTCACAGGATCAAAAATCGGTATTTACTTCTTATATGGCCACACTACTGTGGCGGTCCGAAGAACGACGACAGCCTGGGACATCTACGGACGACTTTTATCAGCCAACCATAATGTGCCGGTTCAAAGTAGTAGGGTATCCTGGTCTGGTCTACAGACACCATTTTATCCATCCAGGTAGGTTATATGAATGGAACTGGCAAACTATTGAGCCTAAACCCACAATTTTGCGAACAATGCAGTAATTAAGGGGTTCTTAAGGTATCTTTCCAGCTCAAATTGGCCGAGCAGCTCAAAAGGTAGGAGTTCAAGTTCTATAAGAATTCAG